TTAAGGTGTAGAGACTATTCTCTTCACTATAAAGATGATGATGAGACCTAGCCGAGGTCGAAACTATAGTGCATTCTGGATCAGAATACTTTTGAGGAAGCAAGGCTATGTGAAATTTAATAGAAACGTAAGACCTACTCATATCATTGATCTAGTGATCTAGTATGAGAATATAGCCAGGGTTTCACTGGTCAAATTAATTGTTAATTGTGATTATTGTTTTCCACGATGAGATTACGAAAAGGTTTACTTTTTCATTGAGTTAGAAGGAAAACCTTAGATGCAATAGTACAGAGCAACTATAAGTGCAAGACAAACCTGGTTCTTAAACTACCTCTTTGATTTTAATGAACGCCCTCGATTATAAACAGGATTTAAGCAAAAGCATTCTTAAGATAATATTAAAGTTATGGTGTAACAAACTTGTCCTCGAAATGCACTACTGACAATACTAATACTTGCCAGATCCAGCCAGCGCCATTCTGGCAGCATTATAATGAAAATTTGAGCCTTTCCCAATAACTCAACGACATAAGAACGGTGTCCATCTTATATCGTCTATTAACGAGTGTTTATGCTCTCGTCCTTGGAGATCAAGCGTAGAACAAGAGGGTTCCTAATTTTAACTTGTATTTTTAATGTGCTTATTGATAAAAAAAGTTAAAAATTATCGTAGTTTTTATTTGCTTAAATCCCACTTTAAGAGAGTAGCTCTGAAAGAATACAAACTAATACAGAAATAAACGATGAAATTCGCATACAAATGATGCTTTCATTTCGTTCATAAAGTGATATGCTTTCGCCTATCCCACTATGAATCACAGTGCTCAGCATGAAAATATTGCTTATTGAAATTTTACAAACGCTTTTCACGTGCGGTTGATTCACACAAGCAAACGGTCGCAAATGCAACACGATTATTTTTTGGGGTTTTCGGCGTGTACAAGTTAAGAATTCTTCCCAATTTATTCAACCTTTTAAAACCAGCTTTTCTGGATAAATACAGGAAATTTGCATTTTGGTCTCAGACGCTTCTGAAAGCATTGGTTTTCATGTTTGACTTAATGTGAGAAAATACACTACATCAATCGATAGCGCCAATTTTTCATCTGGTAAATCTACTGAGCAATCAATTCGACTGTCCGATGAGCATCGTTGGCAATTATCAGGTTACCATGGCTGGAAATGCATAACTGTCTTATGGCCCCAATATTTCCAGCACTGTTTTTA